TACTATTCGTAAACTACCGGGTGATTAGTAACTCTTGTTAATATTTGAAACAATGTTTCGATATATTATGGTGGAATTCAAATATTTTGGGACTCTTTTTTAATAAATTATGTACTGCAAAACTTTTTGAAAAGAACATAAATAATTTTTAATATTAAAGTAAAGTAGATGATGACGGTTTTAACATAACGAAATGATTATTTACTTTTGCTTTAAAATGATCGATTGGTGTGGATTTCTCTAGCCATTGTTATTTCATACTAGCATCTGGAAAAGTGCGGAAAAGTAACAAAAATATTTTTCAGCTAAAGTTAACGAATAAAAGGAAAAAATTTTCGATCGTTTGACATAAAACTTAGAACATTTCTCTATCAAACAAAAATACAACCTTGAAGTTTGGTTGAGAATTGGCGGAGTTATTAAAATGTTTTATTGGGTGGTGACTTTTGGGACACCCTGTATAAATCATAACCACTTGATATATCCAGAGACTATGCAAAACTCTTTTGCACGTCTTTTGGAACACTTGGAAATTTTGTCATAAGGAGTGGTAAGCAGTGCAGATTGAGAACTCTAGCCCAAAACGATGTTTTAACTTACAATCGTTAGAACGCAAAACTCACTTTTCTGAAGACTACTGGAAAAATTACCATAACTCGAAACATGGTGTAGAAAACACGTTTTAGAGCATCTGTAAACATTTTCCGCTTTAAAAAATTCTTCTACAATCATATTCAATCCTTACAGGAACTTATAAATACCGCTAGAATCATAACATAGAAATCCTATGTAGTTTTCGAAATTAGGATGGACTTTGAAAGTACAGAGTCAGATTTTTCAGTTTCGTTTCGAAACAAGTAAACCAGGGATCTTTGTAAAACCTGGAAAAGGCTTTTAATGGGTTTGACGAAAAATGTTTCGCGTCAATCGCTACAACACAAAATGGTTATATTGGATTTTAATAGTGGAGATTTAGTCGATAAATTAACTTTTGCATTGCTTTTGGTGATACGTATGAATGTAACGAGTGCAGCAGAATAAATGACAGTCTTAATATTTTCTCAATATCTTGCTCAGTTATCATCGTTTTCACATAAATTTTTTCAAAGGTTGAGCGTTCAGTTCTTTACAAAACCATAGGTGAATGAGTGTTATTCATAGAAAAGTAAAAAGGTTATCGAAGAAATACCAAAAATATGAAATATCAACAACTTTCTGGCACAAATCAAATAAAGCATTTTCCTATGGTATAGCTCTATTTCCTAGCTCAATTTGCCTATGGTATTCAAAAATTTAAATGCACAAAGTAACCGTTTTTTCATGTTTCAGAAAAGAACACGTTTTTAAAACGTTCTTTTCTCTGTTCTCGAAAAACTCATGTAACCCAGCCAAAACTTATACTTTTGAGATAAATGTTTTTTTATTTGAAAGCTGATGATCCATCTAATAAATGTAGACCTTCCTTTCGAACAAATGTTTTATTTTTAATTTTAGTACTGATAAATGCGTAGGTACCTCAGAGATTAAATGTTTTCCAAAAAAATATTGCTTAGTTCAAAAGTTATAACCAAAATACTTGAAAACGCCTGTAAAACCTTAGTTTTTGACCAGAGAATCTCCATAACTCGTGCCGGAAATATTTTTATTTCAAGAGACAAAACTAACGTACGGAAAATAGTACCTTGTATTGAAAGTAAAAATTTCAGCCTGGTCGAATGAAATCTGGTCATAAGCAATGCAGATTGAGAGCTCCAGTGAAAAACGATGTTTTAAGTTACGACCGTTAAAACGCAAAACTCACATTTTTGAGGTCTTTCAGAAAAATGATCATAACTCGATCAGAAAACACAGTGTAGAACTCGTTTTGTTCAGAACCTCTTCACTCCACAAGACAGGCTATTTAAATCACTTGCAAGTGCCGTAATGGAGGCAGCTAGAAGATCTTGTTTTTTAAGAAGAGTAAAGTAACAAATTTTAGAACATTCATATCTCCCCACCAGTAGGTTGTGGAGAGCTAGGAGTGACCTTATATTTTGTAGAGGCCATATCACTCTATCATACATCATGTTTGTCTCAAAAATGAAAATTATCTGTAAAATGAGAGGAAAGGTACCCTTAATAGTTAAACAAAAAATATCGAAAGTGAACTATTTTGAAAATCACATATTCATTCTACGTTCAATGTGCATTAAAGTTCGCTGTTAAACTTGTATTATGCTTTAAGAATATTGTACCATTTGCATAGCATCAATATTAGTACTACAGAAATAATTCTGAATAGAATTTGTCAGGTAAGACTAATTTTAGGTTAATAGAGAAATTATTTCAAGCGTATTTTACTATTAAATCATACATTATCACAAATGAGACTATGTCAGAAAATTTTCAAGGACGTCAATAATGTACGTAAAGTCTAAACATATTAGAAACATACAGAAAAAAACTCAATCAATATTGAAGAATGAAAAAATGTTTCTAAAGAGTAAAAATATAGCAAAATATGGTTATAGCCAATGGAAATCGGAGATGCACCATACTAAATAAAATTCGCTAAAGTTTATTACATGGAGCTCTTAAAACTCAGTTTAAACAAAAATTCTGCAAAAACCCGATTTAACCGGGTCTTTACATAGGCGCATATGATGTTAATTTTGTTCATCAAGATATATAACCATTTTCCTTTATAACTCACGCTCTCTCTCTAGCTCTCTGTATCGTTCTTTACTGTTCCTGTATAAGGGACTGTGGTAGTATATGCAATGCACACAATCTAACAGAGGTATAAAAATAGACATAAATGAATATTTACAAATACATTCACACTCTACACACCAATGCACGACACTAATTTTTTCCATGATTTTGAATGGTGATGTCGTTTGTTATTTTCCGAAATTGTACTGGATTTTTCAGCTAATGCTGGTGGTAATAATTGTGTTGCTGTTAGAGTTGGATTTGCATCGCGATAATCAATCGCTGCTAAAACAGCCGTATCAAATACGGTTTTTAAGTTTTTTTGTGTCAATGCAGAACATTCCAAATATGTTGTAGCATGCATTTGTTGAGCACGTGAACGTGCTTCTTTTTCTGTGACGGGTTTTTGTTTCAATTGATCGAGTTGTAAGAGAGTTTTTAAATCATGAACGAGATCAATTTGTGTACCAACAAGGATAATGGGTACTTTTGAATTTGATCGACGTGCACGTGATAACCAATAGGTAATCGCATTTTGAAATGATTGTGGTTGAACAACAGAGAAACAGAGCAATATAACATCCGAATATGGAATACATAAACCATGTAGAGGCGAAAATTGTTCCTAAAATCGAAAAAAATAGCTAAAATATAAATATTTGAATTTTACTTAATAATTCATTACATACCTTTCCTCCTGTATCACAAATATCGAAATGTACTAATCTATTACCGACAGAAATATCTACTGAATAATTATCAAATGCGGTCGATACATAAGTAGTCGGAAAATCATTTGTAGTGTATGACACAATTAGACTTGATTTTCCAATTTGACTATCGCCAATAATGACACATGTTATATGATGGTCAGCTTGAGGAAGTGGACATGATGCTGTTGATGGTGATGACGAGAGAGTCGATGAAGAGATATTACCACTACCGGTCGATGTTGTCTTGGATGATGATGTTTCACAGCAATTTGGACTCATTAGTTTCTAGAATGAAAAAGGGTTATACATACTTCATGATATTGAATTATTTCATTTGACGAATGATCTTTCTAGACGACTGATTGATGACATTTTCATTCAAAAAATACTTTTCTTTTACAATTATGTCGCATATAGTTGATGACAAGGTTATTTTGTCTCTTGATAATAGAACACTGCTCTGTCATTTCTCTCTTTTCTAAATTGACTTGGAGCAGAAATCAGATTCTCTTTGAGAATTAGTCTTGTTTAGAGCTCAGTATTAGATATTTCAGAGTATATTAAAATTGTTAATAAAATCTGATTTCTTTCTGAAGAAAGAGTATTGCATGACCTATTCGTAGTAATTAAAACAGTAGCTTATCTCCATTATCGTTTTCTCAGATGAAGGAGAAAACTAGCACCTGAATATAACAGGCAATGTTCATGACGTTTTTGACAAGGAATTAGTTTTCTGTCCAATAAAAGCAGCTCTAATCCATACTAACGTTCACAGTACAATTACATCTATTGGAAAAAGATTGATTGTCCATGCAATAGATATCTTGAAAAGTTTATAATTAATTCAAAGGATAAACTGATTAAGTTCTGAAACAGTAAACCATTTAAGATGAAAATGAAAATCTCTGGGTCTAACTGATTTTCACTATGTGATTGTTAGACGATACACATTGATATTCTGTTTTTTCATTCATTTTTTGTGGCTTACATCCCTTTCCAATTATGATGTAGAAGAATGATAGATCATTTGTTCTATTTCCGCTGCTGTAACAAGGAAACATTTCAGGATTTCACAAAATATATGTTCATTACTAGAGTCTGATGTATTGATCACTCATATAATATTTTCAGCTGTTAGCATTAGATAGTTGCTAAGTAAGGACACTTTTTTGTTTTAATAGTAAAAAAACTTTTGTTTCGATCGCCTGTTTTTTATGATAGACACCTCATCCACATTGATCAAGCATCGAGTGGTATTGTAGGAAATCTCTTCAACTATAAATCGGTATGTATCCTAACTTTAGATCGAATTTTTTTCTTTTAAGAAATGGAAAGGTATTAAACACGTTAACCTAAAAAGTGAGTGAAGATATGTTATTGAACAAAGGTACTAAAAATAAAAGAAAAAAAAACTATAGTTTAGGTCGACATTTTCCAGTTATGTTTAACATCTTTGCAATTCTTAAAAGAAAAATTGGATCAAAAGTTGGAATACATACCACTGTATAACTGAAGAAATTATGTTTCGCTGGCGTGTCTTCAGCTACCTGTGGTGATATGAAGTAGCAAATCGCGTCCTAGTAGTGCACTCTGTTGCGCCTATTCAATATTTGCTCAACATGATTGCATTTTGATAATCATACACAGTTTACACAAGGGTCATATTGATTCTTTTTTCACGGTGGGAACAGTTTATACATACAGGACTGATTTGTGTTTTTCAGTAGCTTAAGTTTTCGAATGGACTTGTCTCTTCTGTCCAGGAAAAACAAAAGTGACGAAGGAACCTTTCCAGGTGTCCGACCGCTTTTCTAACGAAATGCGGGAGTTTGTAGGTAATCGACTATGCTGATTCCGAATATGATAGCCGTTTTTGCCCATACATCTCTTCTAACCGGTTTCTGTAAAACTGGTTTTCCCAAATTCTCGAAAAATCCCCAAGAGTTTTTCGTAAAATGAGATATCTCCCAGCCCTACACGAGCTTTCTTTGCAAAGTTATAGAACTCACAAGCCCTAAATTCATCTTTCCTTCTTTCTGTAGGTGACAATAAACATTTAGGGCTTTTCTTGTAAATTCTATAACTTTACAAAAAAAAGGTCATGCAGAGCTGGGAGATGTCTCATTTTACTCAGAATTTCGTGGGCTACAGTCGTGACTTATTCAGAAAAACTCTTGGGGATTTTTCGAGGATTTGGGAAAACCAGTTTTACAGAAACCGGTTAGAAGAGATGTATGGGCAAAAACGGCTATCATATTCGGAATCAGCATAGTCGATTACCTACAAACTGCCGCATTTCGTTAGAAAAGCGGTCGGACACCTGGAAAGGTTCCCTCGTGAGATCAATGGTCTATAAAAATGTCTTTGTTATACTCATCTGTAAACATTTTCAGCTTTAAAAAATTCTTCTACAATCCTATTCAACCCTATGACAATTCAACATAAAGTTCTTATGACAGGAACCTATAAATACTGCTAGAATCCTAACATAGAAATCCTATGTGGTTTCCGAAATTAGAATTATCTACCATTTTCTATAGAATCCTATCAGATAGGATCAAATGGTAGCAGATTGTAGAATGTATTCACCTGAGTTTCTGGGTTATTTAAAAGCATTTTAATACTTTTGAACATGTTAGTTTCTAGCACTAGTATGTTATACGAAATCACATAAAAAGCAACAGTGTACCTGGTTTTACACATAAAGTCAAACAACAATGTTCTCATTTGCAGTGAGGGAGTGCGAAGATTTTCTCTTGTTTTTCATCCTTTTTTTTACCGTACATGTTTGTTCTTAACAACACAACACAATTTAACACTGATAAACGAAAAGGTGTCAATAGAGTTAAATAGACTTCACATTTTACAGTATACATAATAAATAAACTTTTTTTTCTGTCGATGATGCCGTCACACGTATTGCGTAAATATATGGCACTTTGAAAGAGAGAAGAGAAAAGGAAAGAACAGAGGTGAGTTTTACATGAAGAATAAGGAAGGAAGTTGTTTTTATACAAATTCAAATTGTAAGGATAAAAATAGGTATTTATTCGTAAAATTCCTTAAATACAGATGCTTTTATTAGGTAGCAAAATATTATCATATTCGAATATGTAAGCGTTCATAAACCCTCAAATCGGTCTGTCTTCTATACAAATTAAAAATGTATTAGAATAGCAGCATCTAACTAAATGATTCATCTTGATATACAAAATTATATAAATAGATTATCAGTGGAACAAGTATCAAATAATAAGTTTATATATCTATAATTTTTTTTCTTATGAATTCATCAATATCATTCACTTAGTAAAAAATAAATTCATATTCTTATGGTAAGATGAAATCGGTACATAATATAGTGTTTCTAGTACTGCAGATGTCTAATTTAATTAGTAATCCACCAACTTCATCGAACTCAAGGATAAAATAATTCCTTAAATGATGGATAAAAAATGATCGTTCATACCTTTCTCAGACAAATATCTTCTCTATTTAAATTATTATGTTGTTGACATATCATTTCTAGTGTTCTCTTTCTGCCTTTGTACACAATCAATCTTCAATGTGTTGTTTACATACAGCATCTATTTGTATAACATTATAAACGATATAATAGTCTTATCATATATCATCATCATCTGTTTTTCATATACACATACACACCGAGAGAAAGAAGAAAGAATAAGATCGAAACTAACTTTATCATGTGCACGAACAGCAAGCAGAAATAATTCATATCTAATAATAATAATATAATCTCTACAGCGCATTTTATCATCGCTAATTTTTTTCGTTGTTTTCTTTTTATTGTTGTTGTCACAGAAAATGGAACGAGAAAAGAAGATGTATGTATATGTTGTAGATTCTACTACATATGGTACAGAAGAAAGAAAATCAGAACATCGAAATAACATAAATTCACTCGGATCGAAACACAAACACAGATAGAGGAAGAGAGATCTCAATAACACAATGGTAGAGGAAAACGACAATCAATTCCCTATAGTAATATTACACTTGAAAGAATTTTTTTTTTTTTATTATGTCGTGTATTGTCATAGTCTTAATCAAGGAAATCCTACTGTGTGTGTGTGTGTGTGTGTGTATATTATATGTGTGTGAACGTGAGAGTATATTAAAAATATATGATTGTATAACAACTAAAACGATCATTAAATGTCATCTGCTTTTACTGAGATTAAAAAGAGAGTAGAGAAATAGATATTGTTAACCTTGAAGAATAGCATGGAAAAGATACTTATGAAGGTGAAAAGATATCACAACTATATGTTCGAATAAATGTACGTTTTAGATATAAATTTTGAGAATAATGATACACGAGAGTAGCTGATCTCTATTTTAGTAGAGAAATTACTTAACTGTACTCAAGAATCTCTAAAGTTACGGTATGTTATCATTTCTTTTCCAACTACTCATCATGATCAACTTGACTATCGATCATTTCATATGATCAGGTTATCTCTAACTGAAGAATTATTGATAACTACTTATTTGATGTTATCGTAAGAATGTTATTTTTTTCTGAAAATAAAAATAATTTTTATCAGCTTTTTATCTATAATATTGCTACTTCGATGAGTAAGAATGCATAGATCAATCATATTATCTTTCGGTAATTGAGAAATTTGATGGCAATCGTTTGATTTTTCGTCATAACGTCTAGAAGATCGATTTTCGATGGTAAATAACATATTCTATATCTTCTAGCGGTTAAAACTTCATCGATTTTTGTTGACATATTCACGTAACCATCTCAAATAGAAAAAACAACTCTAAACTGGAATTACTAAAAAATGGCTATATTAAATTATAATACCCTGATATCAACTAAAAACTATTGGCACCCATTTATGCCTTCAGTTAGGTATACTAAGACAATTTCCTTCCTATAAACACATACTGATAAGTCGTTTCGTATGAATCACAGGTAGATGCCCTTCTCTTCCAACTGAAATTAAGATTATTCCGAATAAATGACACTTTCACAGCATAAATTCTAAGTGACCCATTACTTATTTAGTAGAAAAAGTTTAACAAATTAACTTACTTTTAGACACTGTTACTTTTGTCTTAGTAAATCTAATCTATTTTTAATTTATCATGTTGTTTCGACACTTAACATATAAACTTCTGTATTTTGTTCTCTCTCTTATCTTGACCATGACTTTAAATTCTCTTCTCTACAATAAATATAGGTTTTCAAATGACTTTCAACACAAATATGCACGCTCTCTTCTCCCTTTTCCGTTCGGTTA